TTGGAGATTCTCATTTCTTATGAAAATGTATGATGAAGGGATAAGAAGGTCAATCTTACAAGAAGACGACGGCTGACTCGCGCTTTACTACAACCGTCTGACTTTAATACAACGTTAAGGTTGACACAGTCCATAAGACATCCTCACTCGTTTCCTCGGATTGAGCTTCGTCCATTATATAATGGATATCATCAGAGCTGGAATTCATTCTTGTAAAAGCCTCACGTTAACATTAGGCCGACAAGACTAACCGGATCTTTCCCACATGACATATATACTCTAAACAAGTAAAAATTCTATAAATAGATGGATATATAAAAGTTTGGTTAATTCTCTTATGCTCGAGTATGTCTATTTGTGTCGGTGTGTGTGACTTGAGTTTGCGTACAGACGCTACTACTAACGTTAATACACATACACATACACATTTGATCTAATGCTAACGCGACACTTTTACAAGAATGAATTCCAACTTTGATGATGTCTATCATCTGATGAAAGAAAGCTCAGCCGGTTTTCGTTCGAAATCATGTAGGAGCACTCGCACTGAAAGTCTTACTAAGGTCAAACGGCTGCAGAACAAAGGGTATCAACCTTCTTCCTCTGGTGCTATCGACCTACAGTTCTCTTCATCATTTAAATTCTTACGAACTGAAAGACTTCACAACCACATACCATTGCAGGTGAGTGTGTCTTATGGCAATCTCTTCTAGATGAGTTGGTATGTCTCCCCTCCACCATATGAGCACTAACCTTTGAATTAGTCTGAGCTAAAAGAGAGTCCGACAACTCTCAAAAGGCAGGCACGACTACTCCAAGTGTTTTTTTCTCTTAATACATTGTTCTGATGTACCATCTCAGTGATTCGCTAAACTTTTTCGAGTTAATTGTTCTGTTAGTGGATCTGTCTGTCCTACCCTATAACTTTATTATCTTGCATGTTTTTTATGAATATTAAAAGTAATTATGTATTAATCCGAATAGATTATTGACTTGTAATCAATGTATGCTAATTTTCATTATAAATGAAGAGGAGAATAACGCTTAATCACTAAGGCATCATACAAAACCCAGTTATTTTACTGCTGTTACTTGTTAGGTCAAGGTGTAAATTGAAGTGTTTGGCCTATACATTAGAGAATGCTTTATCATATTTCTCCATTTATAGCAAAGCCACATTTGTGTTCTCCGTTAGTCTCAAGTTCCCGCCAGCCTTGTTCGAGGATGAGGGAACGGTCTCACAG